TTTATCAATTATTTAGAATTTCTGTCAGTTAGGGCCTTTGTGAATGCGAATTTATGAAATAAATGTTTCAGTTATTAGGGCTTTTTAAATTCATGTAAAATCCAATATATATGTTGTTTCCATATCAAAACAAGTTAGTAGTTACTTTGAGTTATGAACTGACTGCACACGAAAAAAAGAAAGGGATAGTATTTGAATAATATTTATTTAACTGTCAGATGCCTGTAGCTTCCTTGGAATAAAATTAATGAGACCGCGAACGTATTGCTTCTTCTGGTCCCACGACATCATCCAGAATGAATTAAAAATTCCTTTTCGAGCATTTTCATCAAACAGAAGGCGTTTATGGTTATTTTTGAGACAAAAGTACGACGAACACAATTCGCCTAACAATCTGGATGGCCTTTGACAGAAAGCTTTCCCGTCCTTTGTCTTAGATGTGCCAGAATATTCCTTAATATGCTTCCTAGTTTTTAGGTCATTCCAAAGTGACGGTGGGACGAGTCACCTTTGAGGACACATAGTTCGTGAATAAAATGAACACTGCTGGTTTGATGTGAATATTCATTATATTTTTAATAAGGGACCACATTTAAACAATGGGAAACTTAAGCATTTGTGTGTTACGTTAAAAAATATATATATCAATGTAACGGGTGGGACATCCAATAAGCATATTTTTGAACTTCTCGCCATAAATTTATTTTTTTAATAACTCAACACCATTTTAAAGTTCATGAATTGTTCTTTATTTGTGGATAGTTATTTTTTGCATTGTCACCTTTAGTACATGAGGAACCCTTTGAAATCTTGATGCAAAAATATTACAGCATATTATATTTGCATTTATAACAATAAAATAGAGAAAATAGTGAAAAATAGATAGAAATAAATAAACAAAATTAATGTAATTTATTTATTTTTTTAACTGAGGAGTCGTCTTCCCTGGCATTGCCCAAATGCAAAACCTCTTAAACTTGTACAACTTTCTTTGAACTTTCATTTCCATTGTTAAAGTTTTTGTAGTAAAAGTACTTCAGTTAGGCCTTTTTGCTTTCACAAATTTTCATTCGTTCAGTTAGGGCTTTTTAAAAAGTGACATAAGTTTGCTAGTTTTTCAGTTACTTTTCTAAATTTTTTAGGGAAAATGGGTTTTAGTATAAGCTTATTGGGAATGCAAAAAGCCAAATTTCGAAAAAAAAATGTTACATACCAGCTTTTGCCCTCAGCTACACCCGCGTTCAGTTCAGTTTAACGTTATGATTTCAAATGTAACAAAAAATCATAACCGAAATAATAAATTTTATTTATGTAAATGACGGAGGCCAATTTCAACTAAAGAGTAATGGTACATATACGCTATTTGGAACAAAATAATTTTGGGATACCCTAATCTAAATACTTCTGCAGCTACACACATCTCTGTATGTATATTTCATATACTTTCAACCCCCTTTCTTTTAAACATAAACTACCCTGCAGAAAAAAATCATCAATTGATAAAAAATAACCCACTCGCTGCTAGCTTTTTTGCGGGATTTCTATAAAATATATAAGTTAAGTTGTAGTTAGCTACAAAAAGCTAACTTTAAACTAGTTGACAAGTAGTGCAGGAGATTGTTTTCTTTAAACGCGTTTCTATTTAAATTTCCTGCACTTCGCAAATACTTTTTCGAATTGAGGACAAATAAAAGGAACATCGATATTTCATATTATCATTTTGAAGTTATGTCTGACGGAGTTCGAATATGGGACCACCTACAGCAGAATATGTAAACAAATATGAAATGTAATAAAATATATAGTAAATAAATATAAAAAAAATTAAATAAAAATAAAAAAAAAATTATTTGTTTTTCCTATTGATATTTTATATCCAAAAGTAGTTAGTTACAAGTTAGCTACATCAAATGCAGAGGTAACCACCCTTGACTATTTCGCGGCCATAGCCATAGAAATATAGTTAGCTTTCGTCAAAGAAAATATACAGATAATAGTGAATTTTACCTCCTTCGTAATTAACTTAAAGTTAGCTTATAGTTAGATACATTTCCAGCAGGGTATGGTTGTACATACCTATGTACATACTTATGTATATAACTTAGTGAAAGTGAGTATGGGGAGAAATGGAGTTTCGCATGCGGAAACAATATATAAAGTTGGCTTAACTTTAATTGCCACTGGTCAAAGTTTTGATGAGTTTTTGTTTGCGACGCTGGCCAATAGTGGCCAACTTTGTTTTGATTGACGATGGATAGGTGGTAAGAAATGGAAATTGTACCTAGAACACAAAATGGGGCAACTTAACTTTATTGCCGGGAAATGTCATAAACAAGTTGGAAATTGAATTTATATGTAGTATGTTTGTAATAAATATGGATATGTACTTACATTCATAAGGTACGTACATACATACATATTTGTATACTAGACTGCATCACTCCCTATACAAAAAAAAAGATCGGTACTATTTTTCCATTGGAATTATAAAATCTATTATATTTTAAGACGTCCACCAAAATAGTTCGAAAAAATATTAAGATTTACGTGAGCTGGACCAATTTGAAAATACCTCCAAAAGTGGAGTTTTTTATGAATAAAAATAGTTTCTTAAAAATTTTTTTTGAAAAAATCCCCTCAAATGACAAAAAGGTTTAAGCTTAAAAATCTGCATAAAAATATTAAAAAAAAAAAAAATTTTAAATTTGAACGGAATCGTAATGATGAGGTTTTTGATGCTGTTTTTTAACTTTCTTCAAAGATTGGTATAAGAAAAACTTAAACTCAAAAGGTATGGAAATAAGTGACAAAGGAATGGGAATCCTTTTCTTAATTTGACGTTTTTCGATAAGAGAAAGAAGTTTAGTTAGTAATAGCGTTTGGTTGCAGTGCTTCATAGTAACTTACTACGATATAATTAACGCGTATAGCGCCATTTTGATGCACTTTCGTGGGAACAATAAATACCTACATCTAGATTTCTCGGCCAAACCATCTTGATTCCTTGATGAATTTACCGATGTCACCTATAGTAGATCCTGACATATCTACTAGTTTTGTTTGTATATGTCTTCCTAATGCTTTATACCTAATTTTTATTAGACTCGGGCATTCACAAAGGAAATGCTGTACACTTTCTTCGCTACCTTCTAGTTGACAGTTGCGACAAGCCACATTCTCTCTGCGTGTTTGTCAATTGTTTTGTTTGTGATCCTCTATAGTTGCTGCAATTCTCAATACTTCTGTCCTTGATCTGTTAAGGAGGTCTAGTGTCTCCGTCCTGTTATAGTCAGACCAGAGTGTCTTGGGTACTATACAAGTCTGTATATCCGACCACATTTCCCTTGGCAGTTCATGAAAATACAAACTAATTTCTTTTTGAATGCCTCTGAGGGGATACACAAGTATGCTCCTTCCTTCGCGAAATTCAACAGCCATCTCGTTGCCTTCAATGTTCCTATGGCCCTGGAACACAGACATGGGCGACGCTTATTGACGCTCAGCATAATTCCATTTTACACTTCTGGGATTTGTTAACCGACGATGCTAATGTTAACAGAACCGCTTCGCTGTCTGAACATATTGTTGCTTTCTTTGTTCTACCGATGCCTTTCCTAGAACCTTTCATGTTTCAAAGATGTCTAAGACTTCCGCTTGGAAGTTTCTTGTACCATTCCCTAAACGGACACACAAGGAGACACCGAGTTCAATGGAGTACACACCTGTACCCTCACCACAGTCCATCTTTGAACCGTCGGTATAGCGAGAGACTGACCCTTAATCGGCCACTTTGTCTCTACGGCACTATCTTCTGGTTGGGAGCGGAGTCTTACTTGTATGTTATTGAAGCTCAGGTTAGATAAAATATAGTCGGTATTTTGCCATGATTCCATTTCATTGATGATTATTCCGTGCCTGAATCTCCTAGTCTGACGGTCGGTATATATCCACATCAATCGGTTCTGTTTTAGTTCTCGATTTCTGCTTAAGATTCTCTTGAAGGTATAGTATGCTATGCAGTCCTTCTGCCTACGATATTCGATGTTGATTTTGCAGAACAGTTTGGTGTATAGCACGACTCCCAAATACTTTGCGCAAGAAGACAGTTTGAGCATCTAACCATTCAGCGACTGTGCTTTGAACTAGCGTATTTTGCTTCTATTTGTGAATAGCATAAGTTCGTTCTTGTCAGGGTGTACGTTTAACCGACTTTTACTTTGGGCAACTGTAGGCCGCACCGTCGAAAACAGGTTTCGATACACATAGTTCTCACCCATGGGAAATTTTCAGGAAAAAAACATCTGTTTATTTGAGTGTTTATGGCATTCGGCGACACGATGCCGCTTATTTATTGGATCTTAAAAATCAATATTAAAAAAGATAGTCTCCGGAAAGTAAGTTTTAGGTAGTCATATTAAGTATTCACATCGACGAACGATGTGACTGAGTGGTTACACGTGCTTACTACCACTCTGCAGGACCTGAGTTCGATCTCTGGTCCGACAGGCATCTAAATAAGAAAATTTTTTTCTAACAGCGGTCGCCCCTCGGCAAACAATGGTAAGCTTCCGAGTGTATTTCCGCCTTGAAAAAGCTTCTCATAAAACCTTTTGCCGTTTGGAGGCGGCGTAATATTGTAAGTCCGTCCATTTCCGTCCAGCTCGGCCAAACACTTGGCAAATGTGTAGGCACCAAATATTTATTTATTTATTTACTAAGTATTAAGTATTAAATATTTAAATATACTACTATTTGTATATACAAGTATGTATAATCAAGTCTTACTTCGTTAATGAGAATTATCAAGTTTACGTTTTGACCTTATTTTCTTTTTTGTGTTTGGGTTTAATTTGTGTTTTTGTTATGTTTTAAGTGAATAAAGTGAAAAAGAATTTTGTGGTTAATTTTTTGGCTTATTGGAGCACTTCATCCCTCATGCTTCCAAAATTTGTAAGCATAAATGGTCAACACTGGTAACCGTTTTAATTTTTACATTACAGTGATCGGTTTCCATACTACAAATCGAACGATGATCGTTGGAAGAATTCAGTGCGACATAACCTCTCCATCAATCCGCATTTCCGCAAAGGTCACAAAGCGCCACAAGGAGCTGGCCACCTGTGGACAATATCCAGTGGAGACTCAGCAGAAAATGTGCTAGCATGGGAACATGTAGGTTTTAGGAACAACACTTGTCAACCAGAACCAGAAAGATGCATTTTTGTCTATTTATTTGCTATCCTCTCCACAGAAGAAGCAGCGACTGGACTTATTCTTCAAAATGGAGTCCATGAATCGTGAACGCCTACAGCAGCATCAACAACAAATGCAGCAGCGGCAAAGTTGCACCTCACCACATCCGGATTGCCAACAAATGCAGCAGCAGCAGCAGCAGCAACAGCAACAACAACAAGGACCCCAGCAACAATGCGTCTATGATGAAGCCGCAACAGCAGCCGCCACAATTACACGAGAAATGCTCAACAGCAGCAGCAACGAAGAGACTTGCGGGCAGAGATGCAACACAGCTACGGACAACAACAATCACCGACTAGAGAGCACATCGTTGGTGCATGAATTGCCATTCAACGATCTGATGAGCGACGAAGAGCTCCGCAAAACGGCTGGACAAATTCTAAATGGCATACATCGCGAGGTAGAGGTGCAATCGGTGAACTCAATTATTAGTACCTATCACGATGTGCTGCTGGATAATGGTGAGTGGCAATTAGTGCTAAGGGTCAATGGACTAAAACGTAATTAAATTTCTTTCACTCTTCCTTTTGTTTAAACACCAGAAGATTACCTAAATCCCATCCACAAGGATGTCGCTGTGCATGAGAGTGGTCTACGTAGCACGAATGCAACACATCTTCCAGCCGCTACATATACAAATTCCCATAATTCGAGCTCCCAGTATTATGTCACCGAAATCGATCCACTCGAACTGGGCATACAAATGTCACATCAAGTGGGTGCGGAGGAGGTGCTCTTCAGCGATGAATTCAATTTGAATTACTTTGGTTACAATGGCGCCAATGATATTGTTGCCTGACCGCCAGCATCGTCAAGAATGACAAATGGCATAGCGTCTGTAATCAGTGTAACCGCAGTTGCAGGACGTTTGAGTTCGATTACGTCGTTGGAAAGTGGGTCATTGACGCAGCAATTGGGTGCGAGACCGGTGGAGCATGTTTACGGTCAACCACAACAGTAATTGCTGGAGTGTGAAGTAGTGGTAGTGCATACATACATATGTAGTAGAATTAAGATACTATACATACGTTTACTATACTCATTTAGAAGTTATGTATTTATTAATGTTAAGAGGCCTTACAATCACTTCTAGTCACTAATTGTGGATGTTGTTTATCTATACTTAGTAGAATAATATGCCCATAATTTTACCAAAAATATGTACATTTAGACTTTATTCTATTAAAACATTAGAAAATTGTTAAGTAGATAAGGATATGATTTGTATGAATGTAAGTATGTACTGGGTATACAAGTAAGTTTTAGGGTCGTTTGCACTATGTCTGGTTAATTCTAACTCCTAGTAAAACATCGTTATCAACGTTATCGACGCCCAGAATTTAACATGTGATCGATAAAGCAGTCGATGTGTTTAACTGGAGGATTTACCTCCACTTAGGGCCGGTTACTCAATGTCTGGTTAACACTAATCTGCGGTTAAACATCGTTATCGACGTTACCGACTCCCTGTTATATGCATGGACTCGAAGACGTCGGTAACGATGTTTAACCGCAGATTTTTGTTAACCAGACATTGAGTAACCGGCCCTTAGTGTTAACTAGACATGGTGCAAACGACCCTTAAAAGAGATTTTCTCGATTTTCTAACTTTATTGTGCAATGTATTTTATTGAAAATTTTGCCCATCGCTAGCTATGACTTTTCCTGGCAATGCATTGATTCTGCTCCAATAAAAATATTCATCTTTGGATACCATGAATTTAGCAATCCCGCCAATTTTGTATACCTTCAACTGAAATGAAGCGTACGACTGTAAGGACGTTCTGCACGGACCGGAATAAATGGTATCCGGTACCAACGAGATAAGTTTTGACCACTTGTGCAACATGTCGTGGTAGAGGATCAATGACTCGTATCTGGTTGCCCAGTCCGACCGTTTTTCCGCAATCGCTTGCTTCAGTCGTTGTCAGTGGTTGTCTGTAGAGGTTCCCGTCGGCCGTATGACTACTTTTCATAAGCTCATAATACAGGAGCCCCTTCTGGTGTGAATCTATTTTCACGACAGTTGAAAAGACAATGCAAAAACGGCTTCGCTTTGTAACTTTGAAGGAGCATCTTAGAAACAGTGAAACGCCGTTCGATATCTCTTGGTGTGAGCTCATGTGGCACCCAGCTTCCGACTTTCTGGACCATACCAATGGCTTTCTATCGCAATGAAATATCTTGTTATGTCACGCCTTATATTGCCGCAAGTTCTTCTTGGGTCTTAATCCAAAACTGCCTGCTTATTCGGCGTCTATAAACGTTGATAGCCTTCCTTCGCGCTCATTGTCAGGTGTGTCGAAATCGCCATCAACGTTGCAACCAGTACTCACAGGTTATTGATGGCTCATGCTCACCGTAGGGATCACAGAGCAGCCGTTGACTTTCTGCTGCACTTTTCTCCAGATGGAAGCAAATTAGCAATGATCACCGCGAATGGAGTTTTGTTGTTAATTGATAACGGTTTTTATATGAATTTGGCTGCAGCATTTTCCGGTATGCTTAAATACGATTGGAACCCTTTGTTGAAATAGAGGTATAAACTCAATATTCTTTTACACATTGCTTTCCACCTAAGTTGTAGTAGTTCCAAAGCGTGAAGTTTTCACTTTGTCTTCCCTACTTTCACAACAACGGAAGTCGTTAGGACTTTCCTGGATGACTGCTGATCGGAAAAGGCACGTGCTTAACTCTGAATAAGAAGAAAGGGACACCGCGAACTAACTGATACTTTGTACCACGAAAATCGGATCTACGTAACCGAAATTACCAGTTTTAAATCTGGCCTAGGAATATCACCCCAGCATCATTCCCTAAAAACTAGTCGGGGAGTTTGTATGTTCTACAACAACAAATTCGTACCAAAAAAATACGTCTCCATATCTTGTTGATTAAGCAATGTACCTTTGGAATCATGCTGATCCTTAAGAATTCGGGAGTTGAAATCGTTCAGTCCCCTTTTGTCTAAAAAAGCTTAACCGTTACAGATAAAAGTCGACGCTATTGTTGCCGGCTAGGTACCATTTTGTCAAGTGCTTGGCCGAATCTTTTATCAGATTTGTGCCTCTTGGTGTTGCCTCACAATTGGAAGGAGCTACAGTTTAACGTCACCTTCAAACGGTACTACATATATTTAACCCGAAAAGGCGCCAACTGGCAGGTATGCTTCTGCTTGAGCTCCATCAATACAACTGAGCGTATTTGCGTATTTTATACGAATTCGACAGAAAACCCAAGAACTGTCCTTTCGAAACCAAGTAAAGTTTGACTTTTTTTAATTTGTATTTACCAATCAAAAATTAGTGCATACATAAAATAAAGGGGCTAAAGGGGCTCAAAAAAGTGGGACAGAGGAAAGAGATGGTCATCAAGAGGAGCAGTCTTGCTTTATTTTATGTTCCAGTGCTGTGGAAGAGGACACGAATAAATTTCATACTGAAGTTAGGCAGAAGACCCCACTCGCTAGGTAAGTCTTTAAGGCCAATAAGTCGAACCTCCTTTGTGTTAAAAACAATGAAACAGTTTATCGGCAATATTATCACGACACACATTCTACGGCTAGCATCTCTACCAACGCCAAACCAACAGATACATACGTATGTACAAATCAAGGTACATAGATATTGATTTTCGCATACCAGCAGACCCGACGCCATCAGACTATACCCAATAAACATTGAGCTTGATTAACAATTCGAAAATGAAGTCCAGCCCATTATCGAATTTAAATCGCACAGCAGAAATTTATATCATCTGCACAAACTAAATATTTGCTTAGTGGGGGATCTCATTATATTTTCTAGCCGAATGGGAAGCTTATGCTCAATGTCGTCCCAGTACAAACACAATTTCGACATTTCCAAGAAAAGGTTTTCTGAGTGTCGTCTAGATATGTCCGCTGGCTGCCTGAGCAAAGCTATCACACCTTGGACCACGAATATGTATAGTATACACTGTATACCCACATGCATACATTCATATATTTTATGTACAATTTAATTAAGATCGCACAAGTTCTGAGATAGTAAAACGCGCACTTAATTTTGTAATGCATATTTATTAGGGCTGCAAACCACTCCAAAAATAAGTGCGGTTCGGTTCAGTGGTTCGAACCACGTAGAAAATGGTTGTACGGTACAACAACCGCTTCATGAGTATCCCTGAACCGCGGCTTTCGTTTCGGTTCAAATGGTTCAATTTTGCTGTGCTTAAAATATAAAAATTTGGCAAAATTTTACAAACCTATAATATAACAAGTAATTTTTAGCAAACAAAAAACCGACTAAAAAAATATATATATATATCTATATATATTTCATGATCCAATGATCGGATCTAAATCAGATTAGTCCAAAGTTATGCAGTAACATACATAAAAAAAGAAATCCGACGAACTCATTACCTCGTCCTTTTTTGGAAGTCGGTTAAAAAAAACAGGCTTTGTTACTGAAATCAAATCCTAATATCCACATTAATTATGGTGGAAAAACAAATAAGGCGCGACATTTTAGCAAGCTTTGGATATTTTTCTTTTGTTTATTTTTTTTAAACACATAAGTCTATCTTTCGAATTTTGTGCAAATTATGAAAATTCTGAAAAGTTTTATTTAAATCGCAAATTTTTAATAAAAATTTCTTGGACACATTTTTAAATTTTAGGTTGGTTTTTGGCAATTTTTCACTCAGTTGCTTCCATACAAAGTATGCCGGATTTTTTTCTGTATGGTAGAAAATGCGTAGTACCCTAAACTAAAAACTTATATAAAATCAATGCAATCAAGATGAAATAAGAAAAATTTTCATTATTTTCTAGAGAGTAATATGAGCAACATGGTTCTCTTTTTTATAAAGCAATCGCATTTTAGGACGAAAGGATAACGATTGAGCCAAGAGCTTGTGTGAGCATATCCAATTTTTGCCAAAAAATGTTAGTTACGTGGATTTTGCAGAACGACGATACGCAGTCAAAATAATAGGTGTGCGATATTTGACTATTTTTCTTGAGTTGATTTAATGTTCATTGATTTTTTATAAAAGTATAACAGCAACCATATAAATCGAAATTTAAAACTTTGTACGAAAATTAGAAAAAATCTACAAATTCCAACCAAATTGTATTAAAGTATACAAATTTTGTATCAGAACTAAAAAAATCCGAGTATGCTGTTTTATAGCTCCTTCAATTCTAGTGTAACATGTTGAGTTTGATCATTTTAAAATTCGCGTTAGTTTTTAATTTAATTTTATGGAGTTTTTAAGCATTTTCTTCCATATAAAAACATTTTAAGCATTCTTTATATGGGCGAAATTACAACTCATCAAACAATTTTTTTTTTTTAAGTTTTACCATACGGGTTTTTTGACAAAGATATTTATTACAAAACTTGAAAAATGTTACTGGAGACTTTCAATTTGAACCGAACCGAACCATTTTTGGGAGTGGTTTTCGAATCGGTGTTGACATTTCAAATTAAAAACGGTTCGGTTCGAAGCCCGGAAAAAGCGACGGTTCGGTTCAAAAACCGGTTCGGTTCAAAACCGATTTGCAGCCCCGATATTTATATATAACAATTATCTATGTTTATGTAACTAAGTACATTAATAAAAATATATGTATGTATATACATAACTATAATAAATTTTAACAAATAAAATTTAGAAAAATCATTGCAATTTAATTGACGCATTGGTTGGGCCTTATTCGATCCTGAAAATGTAATTTTAACTGATTCTATGTATATTAGACTGCAGCAATCCACGCTCAAAAAAAATCGGTACTGTTTTCCCATTGGAATTATAAAATCTATTGGGGGCCATCACAGTGTCCATCGTAGTCCGATTTTTCGTGAAATCTACGAATATGCGATCACTGAATACGAATTGCTACGAACGTTGTGTATA